CCCTACACCAGGTAGCAGCAAATCCAAACAGTGTATGGAAGAATGCAACTTGAACTTAAGCCGCAAAGAAATTCAACAAGTAATTTGTTCAAAAACAAACTCATAGTCAAAAACAACAAAACAGGGACCAGCAGTTAGCGTAATGGCTATGTCGCTGGACTCCCATGTAGTCGACCATGGTTCAAGTCCCAGACCCGGTAACTTAAACTCACGCCGGGTGCATGTGTGCGTGTGCCTAAGATCCCAAGAAGAGAATGGAGGAGAAGGGATTGTGGCGTGGCCATCCCCCCTGGGGAGTGATTTCTCACTTTTTATCTCTCTGTCTCTATCTTTCTGTCGAGTACATGTGCCCTATAGCAAAAAACTCTCTGAAAAAAAAAAAAAGAACAAAACAACAAAACACACAAGGAAATAAAATAAAATAACCTAAGAATGATCAGAAACAGCAGACATAAAAACACATCAGAAGTATTCTCAAATCTAGATATATAATTGTAATCAATAAATGTAAATCTATTATGAATAGGCTGAACCACAGGGGTGATTGTTTTACCAGAACAAGTTCAAGAAATGATGCTGGAATGGATGGGAGGAAGGGAAGCAGCTGGAGACTTGGACGGGAAGCAGCAGCAGAGTATACCTTACAACATAGACAACACATGCAAATGCATAAAATATGTCCCCAAAAAGGAAGAGAAAAAAGCAAATGTTGCCATTCCCTAAATAAGACTCCATTCTGATAAATCTAAGCAGCCTGCACAATTGTCAGTGTTAGCTGACTGACTATATTTCAACCAATAGACATTTATGGTAATCTGGACTACCAGAGAAAAAGGGTGGGTGAAGGGTGGGAGGGGGGAGGAAAGTAAGTTTTGTAAAGAATAGACTTTTGTAAATACTTAGTGTTGTAACAGGAAAAAGAATAGAAAACGGTTGGGTGACTGTGTGCCAGGAAGCCATTGAGAGCTTAGAAGAAGTCTGCATTCTTACCAGGTGAGGGCAACACAGCACCATTATCTTGATATAAAAAGGATCATTCCCATGTATTTGTTTAGATAAGGATACATGTTAATCTAGATGGATCAAAAAGGTTTTAAAGTTCATAATTGTTTCCAACATCTGGGGACAATTACATTGATTTTGGCAAAAAGTTGTGGATGGTCTTGGTAACATTTATGCGAAATTAAAAACCAAAATAACTTTAGTAAAGTCTACGCTGTTCATAAACCATTACAAGCCTAGCCTCACTGAAAAGTTAATGATTTTGGGGATTCACTTCCCTTTCACTAGAGGGGAAAAGCAAATGACTGAAAGCTACTTACCATCTCCTTGTATATTCTGGGAGAGTGGGCCTGGCCCTAGTACTCAGGGATGGTCTCATTACTCTCCATTTTAAAAGGCAGTACCAAAGCTAACAGTACAGCACTTTTCTCAGAACCACCTATATTAAAGACATGACACCTCTTACTATATCAGGATGTATAACTTACCCTGCTCCAAATTTGCTGAAATCTCTCTGAGATTGTAGAGTATATGCAGTCAAACCAAGAAATACTGCAGAAGTCAGTATAAAGGCTTGCAGAATAATATACACATCATAGAAAGTAACTGTAAAATTAAAATATTGATTAAAAATACATATAAAATACTCAATATAAAACAGCCTTTCTTGCATTTAACAAAACACTCTTTATCCTATACTACTCACCAATAAAAACAATTATGAAAAGAGTCCTTATCTAGCTTTGAATATATTGGTATAGAGGAACCACACCTATAATAATGTACCAAACAGGCTCCAAAAAATTCACTCATACAAAATAAAGGGGTCACATAATTATGAAGTTAAAGAAATGGCTAGATATTACACTGATAGGCAGTCAGGAGTTTTAGGGTATGACAGATTTGCACCCATCTCTGTCCCAGCTGCAGTTTACCACCATTGTGGTGATTGTCCATTATGGCTTACGTATCAATATGGACAATTCCGGGACATCTGGCTATCTGGGAATCCTGGACAGTAGCAGCAATTCTAGCAAACACCTACTTAGTTGCACTCAGTTCATCCACCTAACTCAAGGCAACTGAGCATCAAAAATAATGGGCTGTCTGGGGTTGCCTGCTATTCCATCTTCCCTGCTGAGGACAGAAACTAACTACTAACTGCTTTGTATCTAAATCTGCATTATCTGGGATAATGAATTATAGGGGTTTACTGGGATTGTACCAAATTCCCTTATATAATTATAGGATGACCATACATATAAGACTTGGGCTATTGTAAGAGAGCTGCTTACATTTTAACAGAAAACGAAATTATAACCTTTTTAGAGGAGGTTAAATACTGTGAACCCAAAATCAGGTAAGTAACTTTCAGGCATAATTATCCACATTTTTTCAATTCCTAAATCCTACATTATTGGAATTTATCTATTTATGCCACTATAGGATTACAAAGGTGAATCAGAAGAGATCAAAGAGGAAGTCAAGGGACCACCAGTTGGCGTAATGGCTGTCGCTGAACTCCCATGTAGTCAACTGTGGTTCGAGTCCCAGACCAGATGACTTAAACTCACGCTGGGCGCATGTGCATGCGTGCCCAAGAGCCCGAGAGGAGAATGGAGGAGAAGGGACTGTGGCGTGGCCATCCCCTGTAGGGGTGATTTTTCACTTTCTGTCTCTCTGTCTGTCTCTCTAGTGAGCGCATGCGCCCTTGTAGCTAAAACCTCTCCAAATAAAAAGAGGAAGTCAATTTGCTTCTTGTCAGTAGTTTCCATATACCATTAGATAGGGAAGGTATTAGAATTAATGAGGAAAATAATGTCCTCAGATTACCACCAATTCTAATAACCCGGACATAAATCTCTCCCCTATGCTCCTTACATATGGTGAGGTTGAAAAGGGGAAATAGGGACTTGGTAACATTAAGAGTAAGTAACACAAATAGATAATAATAATACCATAATAAGTAAATAGTTAACAATACATCCTTTCTGTGTTGAGAAGCTTCAATCCCATTTATACTAGGACTTATTGCTACTAATATTGATTCCTTTTAAAAAGAGGTAGGTTACTAAAATATATAGAGCCAACAAAACTGGCACAAAAAAGGTTAAAAACAGGAACCAACAGTTGGTGTAGTGGTTATGTCGCTGGATTCCCATATGGCTAACCACAGTTCCAGTTCCAGACCTGGTGGCTTGAAAATCACGCCAGGTGCATGTGTATGTGCCCAGGATCCTGGGAGAATGGAGGAGAAGGGATTGAGAGGCGAGGCCATCCCTACTGTGGGATGATTTCTCACTGTCTGTCTGTCTGTCTCTCTCTCTGGCGAGTGCACACATCCTAAGGCAAAAATCTCTCTTTTTTTAAGAAAGTTAAAAACAGTAATGAAAAATTAGGAAAAGATAACTATATTAACCATATTAACAACTTCCTATTATTGAGAATAAGAGTTAACTCTGATCTTTTTTGGAACATAAGGTTAACATTTCAAGACAATCAGAATTTTTGTCATTGATTCATTCAACCTTTTTATGGAAGGCCTTACATAGCGTACATTAAGTAATTATAACAAGCACTTGAGCTTTGAATACATATTTAACATGAAATACAGAAACAGAAGTTACCACTGTTTCTTAAAGTACCATTTGATAAAACATCATAGAATATTAAAACCCAGTTCAATGCAGGCAATTCTTAGAGGAGCTAATTAAGCTTATGTGAGTTGGTATCTATGGCTGAAAACACATGTTTTCAGTTTCTCAAGGATCCCTTTAAATTAGGGGAAAGTTACTATAGTTGTCTTATGTTTATAAATGGGTAAACACAAATGAAGTATTGTTCTCTGCTCCTTTTATTTTTCTTAAACTTTTCCACTTCCTCTTAAGTTCTGCTGAACTATATAAGGTATAGATATATGCTTATATTTTAGGAATTCTACATTCTATGCCATATTAAATATAGCATTCTATGATGTTAAACTTTAACCCCAAATACCTTTCACTTTAAAGAGTTATCCACATTATATATTATATCCATGTAGAAGCACAGTTTTGTCTTACCAACAACAGCAACGGTCAGAGCTTCCAACAGAGTCTAAGAAAAAGAAACTGTAATTAATGCTCATAACATTTATCCTATCTTGTGTACATTTTCTAATTTCTAGCATTTCAATATAATTCCATAAAAATGGCCTCATTTTAGTTTCAGTGCAGCCCTATAAAATACATGGGACAGTTGTTAGACCCACTACAACGAAATTGAGACCTCACTGTATTGAGTAATATTTATATTCTAATTGTGATTCCATCACATCCATTTGGAAAATAATGTCCTCAGATTACCACCAATTCTAATAACCCGGACATAAATCTCTCCCCTATGCTCCTTACATATGGTGAGGTTGAAAAGGGGAAATAGGGACTTGGTAACATTAAGAGTAAGTAACACAAATAGATAATAATAATACCATAATAAGTCAATAGTTAACAATACATCCTTTCTGTGTTGAGAAGCTTCAATCCCATTTATACTAGGACTTATTGCTACTAATATTGATTCCTTTTAAAAAGAGGTAGGTTACTAAAATATATAGAGCCAACAAAACTGGCACAAAAAAGGTTAAAAACAGGAACCAACAGTTGGTGTAGTGGTTATGTCGCTGGATTCCCATATGGCTAACCACAGTTCCAGTTCCAGACCTGGTGGCTTGAAAATCACGCCAGGTGCATGTGTATGTGCCCAGGATCCTGGGAGAATGGAGGAGAAGGGATTGAGAGGCGAGGCCATCCCTACTGTGGGATGATTTCTCACTGTCTGTCTGTCTGTCTCTCTCTCTGGCGAGTGCACACATCCTAAGGCAAAAATCTCTCTTTTTTTAAGAAAGTTAAAAACAGTAATGAAAAATTAGGAAAAGATAACTATATTAACCATATTAACAACTTCCTATTATTGAGAATAAGAGTTAACTCTGATCTTTTTTGGAACATAAGGTTAACATTTCAAGACAATCAGAATTTTTGTCATTGATTCATTCAACCTTTTTATGGAAGGCCTTACATAGCGTACATTAAGTAATTATAACAAGCACTTGAGCTTTGAATACATATTTAACATGAAATACAGAAACAGAAGTTACCACTGTTTCTTAAAGTACCATTTGATAAAACATCATAGAATATTAAAACCCAGTTCAATGCAGGCAATTCTTAGAGGAGCTAATTAAGCTTATGTGAGTTGGTATCTATGGCTGAAAACACATGTTTTCAGTTTCTCAAGGATCCCTTTAAATTAGGGGAAAGTTACTATAGTTGTCTTATGTTTATAAATGGGTAAACACAAATGAAGTATTGTTCTCTGCTCCTTTTATTTTTCTTAAACTTTTCCACTTCCTCTTAAGTTCTGCTGAACTATATAAGGTATAGATATATGCTTATATTTTAGGAATTCTACATTCTATGCCATATTAAATATAGCATTCTATGATGTTAAACTTTAACCCCAAATACCTTTCACTTTAAAGAGTTATCCACATTATATATTATATCCATGTAGAAGCACAGTTTTGTCTTACCAACAACAGCAACGGTCAGAGCTTCCAACAGAGTCTAAGAAAAAGAAACTGTAATTAATGCTCATAACATTTATCCTATCTTGTGTACATTTTCTAATTTCTAGCATTTCAATATAATTCCATAAAAATGGCCTCATTTTAGTTTCAGTGCAGCCCTATAAAATACATGGGACAGTTGTTAGACCCACTACAACGAAATTGAGACCTCACTGTATTGAGTAATATTTATATTCTAATTGTGATTCCATCACATCCATTTTAAATTCTAATCACATTTTCATATCTGTCACTGAAAGATTATAGATATAATATAGAAAATTGTATTTTTTTATCCTCTGTAATATAAAAAAATGAAATTGTATATCATATGCACATTCACAAAAACCTTAATATCTCACACAAACAAAAGTAAGAATGAAATATGTAGGTAGTGCTTTGGTGTGGCAGTCTTGAAACTGTCTCCCAATATTCATTCTCTCTTCTCTGGTAACAGAATTTTTACCTGGATACATGGCTATTCAGATTAAATATTATATTTTTCATCTTTTGCAGGAAGTTCTGATTATATGACTATATTCTAGCTAATTTAATGTCAGCGGAGAGGCATATTACCCCCAGATCATGCACCAAAAGCAAAGGGCCTGCTTTCTGCTCCCATTTCTCTCCTCTGTGTGTGTGTGTGTGCATGTGTGTGTGTGTATGAGACAGAAAGAGAGAGAGAGAGAGACTGGATGCTATGGGATACTGCAGTGAAACATCTTAATACTACGCAACACCTTAGGAATGCCTGAGCCATAGACGGAGCTTGGGTCTTTTTTTTTTTTTTTTGGAGAAGTTTTTGCTATAGGGTGCATGCACTCGCCAGAAAGACAGAGAGAGACAGAAAGAGAGAACTCACGCCTCCGGGGGATGGCCACGCCGCAATCCCTTCTCCTCTATTCTCCTCTCAGAATCTTGGGCACGCACATACACGCGCCCAGCATAAGTTTAAGCCACCGGGTCCAGGACTCCAATCATGGTGGACTACATGGGCGTCCAGCAACACCGCCATTATGCTAACTGCTGGTCTCAAGCCTGCATCTTTACAACTACACGAAATAGTCATTCTGTTTTTTACATGAAAGAGAAACTATCTTATTGAAACCATTGTTTTTCTGTTTTGTTTTCGTTTTTGTCATTGTTTAAATCATTTCATAAGTAAATGAATCCATATCCTAAATAAAAGATTTGGGAATACTGAACCTTGTCCTCCACCCTCTCTTTCCCCCCGTTAATTATATTTATTTTGTCTTAGATACTTACTATAGTTCAATTTTATCAACCATCTGATACATCAAACCACAAATGGCAAAGTCATAAGTAAAATTGGTGTAAAATCATACTCCTGGTACCCTAATTTACATGCAAAAATGGTATTAGAAATTGTACACTTATGTGTAGGCAATGAAGGTGCTGCCATGTTTTAATGTTGTTGGTAGTGCCAGGAAAAGATGACGAATATTTTTTCTGGGCAACATGATTATACTACATTCTTGATGTTTTAGGACATGATTTTAGGAAAATAAAATCCCACTCCACATTCAAGTATCTGAAGGAAAAAAGGCAGTATAAAAAGGAGTAAAAATAAGACCAGGAAAACATGATAATGCCATCTCAAAATAATGCCCCATTTAAAGAAAAATAAACATACATGCATACACCCCCTCCTAGGGTAAGGTAGGATGTACCTCCTTCCTTACTTTGGTAAAGCAAGACCATAAAACCCAGTTTCAAGGCCTCCTAATAATCCAAGGAAATGTAATTTGCCTACTTCCTTATTTGTTGAACCACTTTTAGCTCTGGGCATGAAGTATATTAACTGGTAAAAAGTGACCATCATACCCATAAGCATTTGGATGATGACTAAATTTGGCCCAACATTAATGATAGGAAAAGGGATAGTAGTATACAAGGACAGCTGGGAGGAAGAGGATGTATGTAATAGAAAAAAGGAGAGGAGACCACAAACTTGCCACTGATTTTCCTGTAATAGCTACATTTCTAGAACCTTCCTCCTATTTCTCTTCTTGAAGCCTGGTGGGTTTAGGTGAGTGGGTTTTCAAGCTCTTACATCTTTATTTTTAAGAATTTTTTTGGTATATAGCATGTGTGCTTGCTGGAGACAAAAAGAGAAAATAAGAAACCACCCCCTCAGGGCGTGATGGCCATGCCACAATCCCTTCTCCTCTTGGGATTTTTGGCAGGCAGGTACTTGTGCCTGAAGTGACTTTCAAGCCACCAGGTCCAGGACTCAAAAGGTGATTGGCCATGTGGGAGTCCAGCGCCTTAACTACGATGCAATTTGTTGGTCCCTCTTACATCCTTAAAAGAAATTCCCTGTTTCTTGAGATAATTTGGAGTTGATATTCTTGAAAACAAAAGAGCTCAAAATTTAAATAAG